TTTAAACACAGACCAGACTTCGTAACAGAGGAGGGATTACTAGATGCTTTGTTAAATGTTTTGAGATGACATGGCTTAAAACTAAAGGTATTCTTGTTACTTTTGATACAAAATAGTGATAAAGACATTTCCTTTTTGTGATGGGCAGGTTGTTATCCATTTGGGCATAGCTCCAGGAGCCAAATGCATCACACTGGAGCAAACAGGAAAGAACCACTGCTACAAAAACAGGGATGTAAGTGGTCTGTGCCCTGATCATCACTGCTGCATTGAGGAAGGACCAGAACGACTGGACTCCATCATAGACATGAGGTCCCTTAGCAAGCATTCATAAAAAAGTACAGGGCTTGATGTCATCTTCTCCAGGGATGCTGGGAGGTAATATGAAAAATATTATTTATCTATAAAAGATAATTGTGTTCATTTAAGGTCCTGTACAATTAATTCAACAAATGATTGAATTTTAATTTGTGAATATTGTCGTTAAGCTAACAAATGTTGAAATAGCATGCATACAGTATACTAAAGCAAGTTAACAACCTGCAGGTACCTGTGTGATTTTGTATACTATTATTCGCTGTACCATGGGCAGGGAAAGGCTGCGCTGATCCATGTGCCAGCCTCAGGCAGCCTGGCAAGCCCAGAGAAACTGGTACCCCAACTCCAGACCATCATCCAGGCTCTGTTACGCCAGCTGGACTGCCCTGAACACACAACCTCCGGGTATGTGGACAGCAAACAGGTAGAAAACACTGAAGAAAAAATTCTCCACAAAACATGATCCTAACACAGATTACATAGCAGAAATGCAATAAGTGACACTCAACACGGGCCTTCAGACTCATTTTTTTAATTCAAAATTTAAGAAAAAAAGAAAATACATGAAAATTCTTCAGATATACATTAAGCCAATGGCATGTAAAAAGTCTACGTCTCAACTGGAGGTGAGGAGAAAACTGAAAAACAGGAGGCCTTAGATACATAACTTACAAGAAGATGAGAGTACCAGCCAAGCTGTTTCACCATCAGTTTCTACCAATCAATGCAATGAGAGATTTTTATTTTTCCTCCCTTTTTTTCTTTTTTTTTTGTGAAAGGAAAATAAAAAGTGTTATTAAACTCTTTTCAGTACAGTAGATCAAGGCCCCTTTTGAAATTTGTCGGAATGCCAAGCAAAAACAACAGTGCCTGGGAAATGATGTCTGTGAAACCTCAAGCTCATTATTGCAATTAAAATGCATACATGCATCTTTTCTAAACCTGAGGTTTTGCATTATGAAGAAATATAATAAAATAATAATAGTTCTTATGATAGTTGAGGGGATTTTTTTTTTCAGTCAATCTACCTTCAGGTTTGCAGAGAACTTGCATTGGAACATAAGCTATTTCTACTGTAAACTCATCTCTTTTTATTTTAAATTCTAGTCATGTTCTCTCTCTGTGTCATGACTACCCGTAATCTACCGGACATCGCTGTCCTATTTGTGTCTGTGTATATGTGTGTTTCTGTAGATCTGTAACCTACTGGTAACTAAGTAACCTTGGCAGCATTCAATGAAAACGGACATTCACTTTGCAACAGGCCAATGCTTTTGTCCATATTCCTTACAGGAAGAAAAAAAGAAACAGAAATAAATAGTGATATCTATTATTTTCCCATTATAAACACATCAAAATCTTAATCACTACATCTACATGTGATACACTCCCACCCATATACATACGCAACAATACAAGCACAAGGGCTTTTATAGAATGGTTATTTTGATCATCTTGTACCACACAGAATAATATTCTTTTCTAACAATGTGCCTCTCAGCATCCCAACCAGGTCTCTTCCTACTAGTGCCCTCATTTCCAACCCCTGGAGTTCAAAAGATCCAAAATATTAAAGTCAAAGAACATTTTAAGTGCCATGAAACAGAACGACCAGGGGCTGTAAGACCGTGACTTTCTCTGAACCCACTTTGCATTTTAATCGTCTGACCCATCGCTTTTCAGCGGTTGTTTGGAGAAAGAAAGCAAGTATGTTGGTTAGATCCACCACCTACCCAATGCTATTGGCAAGACTATTTGTAGTCTCCGTAAAGCAGCATGTTGTCAGCAGCAGTAGAAAAGAGAGGCAAAACAACAGCCCTTTCTCTCTCTGGAGAATGATGTCGATGAATACGCTGACAACAATTGGCCCTTTATACATGGTCTGTATGCATCTGACCAAACAAATCAGCTGGAATGTTTTTCCAGGTAGGTTTATGAGAAGGGAAAAAATCCACTGGTTTGTTGTAAGAAAGTGTTATGAAATCCACATTATGCATTCAATCATTATGCCAAAAGGTATTAGAGCAGACTGCAGAAAAAGAGAAGGATGATTCCATTGTAATAGAAACAGTGGTATTTATGAACCAGGTGTAGTTATCAGTGTACATTAAAGTCACCTTCAATTATAGGCCATTGACAAAAGTAGGAGAACGACATTGTTGTGCAAAAGCAGTGTGTCTGAGAAGGGCATGCTGGGAAACAGGATGTCCAGTGCCATGATCTGTCGATGCTGCAGATGAATTCTTACTGAACAAGATCATGTAAGCTAATGGAATTGAATGGAAACAATATCATGAACAGTTTTTCTTGTTCTACATCCAATCCTCTATGCCTCAGCTGTACTTTATAATAATGATGTAATGTTAATTGCATGAATTATACTTCACGTGACACTTTTCTTTCTGCAACTGTTTTAAAAATTAAAGCCATTGTTTTTTCAAAAGATGACTGAAGATTACCATTGAAGTTTAACTCGCATAGCAAGTAACTCAATGTGAGGATAATTTATTTGCTAGCATATGCCCCCTTTACTTAAGATATGCTTTCCTAAACCTTTATGAACGGTTTAATCGATTAGATGGTGGATAAGAGGAGATCACTGAAGAAGAATATTAAATACAAAAGAAAACACTGATAGCAACTATGTTTATCTCTATGGTCCATCATGATGGAACCATCTGGTGAATTAGGTATTTAAATATGATTATTTAAAAAGTATTGCAGCATGATTAAAATCAGTGGTATTTTTGTGTTGCTGGGCATGTGATAAGGGATGCAAGAGACACACCATTAGGAATCCCATAGGCATGTTAGCTCACACCATGACTTCCTCTCTCCATTCCTGGAAGCTTGTGCTCTGTGGTGCTTAAAGATTTTTTTTTTTTTAATCAGAGACAAAACAGACAGAAGATGATAATGTGTATAATAATGATGTAATGTTAATTGCATGAATTATACTTCACGTGACACTTTTCTTTCTGCAACTGTTTTAAAAATTAAAGCCATTGTTTTTTCAAAAGATGACTGAAGATTACCATTGAAGTTTAACTCGCATAGCAAGTAACTCAATGTGAGGATAATTTATTTGCTAGCATATGCACCCTTTACTTAAGATATGCTTTCCTAAACTTTTATGAACGGTTTAATCGATTAGATGGTGGATAAGAGGAGATCACTTAAGAAGAATATTAAATACAAAAGAAAACACTGATAGCAACTATGTTTATCTCTACGGTCCATCATGATGGAACCATCTGGTGAATTAGGTATTTTAATAAGATTATTTAAAAAGTATTGCAGCATGATTAAAATCAGTGGTATTTTTGTGTTGCTGGGCATGTGATAAGGGATGCAAGAGACACACCATTAGGAATCCCATAGGCATGTTAGCTCACACCATGACTTCCTCTCTCCATTCCTGGAAGCTTGTGCTCTGTGGTGCTTAAAGATTATTATTTTTTTTAATCAGAGACAAAACAGACAGAAGATGATAATGTGTCCTCTACAGGAAAAAAAGCGAGATGTACTTTATCAATTCATCACTTACACATTTAAAATAAAAGAGAATGAGGTAGATAGATGCTGAAGGAAATGAAAAAAGAAAGTCCCCCAGTCATGACATCATGGAAAATGCATCTAGAATTCAGACTTTATACTAAATCATAAGGGCATCTGTACAGTGATTTCAACTGGTATCACCAAAAAGAAAGGGAAATAAATACCCCTTTAAAGGGGGAAAATAACCTTCTATGACAGGATAAATAAGTTCTGGGTAACGTTCCCAAATGCACATGGGAGAAATCCTTCAAAATAAAACTTTTTAAAGCCAACTAGCCAGGGAACCCTACTGTTTTATTTAGCATTCTTTGAGGAAACCGATCACTTTTCTGAAGTTGAACCCGTTCTTATTTGGTTACAGATGGCGTATTTCATCGGGAAGGTTAGTGCTCATTCCATGGATTGACATGGAAGTCGACATGGGTTGCGCGTGACGCCAAAGTAGAGATTATGAATGTATTTTGTTTGGAGGCATTACAGGCTGGTTGGGGTATGCGAGACAAATTAAGCCCTGTTAGTTACTATTCAATTACATGGATGGGTTACAAAAATAGTCTAGGAGGGTAAAGAAATGTAAATGAAACCTTCTATGATGACGCCTGGTAGGAGGCATGAGCACGGACACTGTAAGTAGAGGCCGGCAACCTAAAAAGCCGAGGTGGAATCACCTATGATGAGAATGTCTGAAAAAACAAAACCATAACATTAACCTGAGATTGAGCTGCACCTCATGAGCAGGTGCAATGGTAGACAACTGTATCAAGAGTGCCTAAAGTTCACATGCAGAGCTAGAGAGTTTGTTGTAAATAATAATAATGAGTTAAAAAACACAAGGCAATGGACATGTGGGCAATGCAGTCAACCTCTTAGGTATAAAAAAATAAAAAAATAAATTGCTATTCTCTTTTTTTTTTTTTTTGCAAGAAGAGCATAAAGCACAAGAAAATGGACTGTAGTGGAGATATCATAAAATATTAAACCTGAAGGATTTCTTTTACACACATATTATTTATATATATATATATATATACACACACACACACACGGTGGTGGCCAAAATTATTAGAACACTGTGTGTGTGTGTATATATATATATATATATATATATATATATATATATAAATAAAACACCCACAAAAGAAAAAAAATAGCAGCTTCTTTCTGTACAGACAAAGAGGTGAACATCAGAACTGTAAAAAAGTTATTAAAAGTGACTTAAACCAATGATTTGTGTGTAAATGATCTTGTGGTCTAACATAGAACTGTAAGACCCTTCTTAGAATCATATGAATTATACAGAGAGACTAATGACTAGTCTAAAAAAATACCTGCTGTGTACAATGCCTCGCTCATCTCTCAAAACAGATGTCGAAACAAATGAAGCCCCTGTTTTCAGTTTGCTTCATGATCGAGCCAATCCCTTATAATTCATATCACCTCTCTGCAGCGCACCAATCTCTTCACCTTTGTGATTAGTGCCGCGATCTTTTCTTTCGACTTGAGAGATTGCTCTCACAGAGGCTCAGCTCACAGATGGTGGGTTCAGCAGGAACTGCAATGCAATAGTCGGAGATGAGAGCCATATAAAAGGGAGAAAGGGGAAAGATTTACAAACTCAAGCTGATTGTAAAAGATGAGGTCCAGAAATCCCCCATAAAAGACAGTATGAGAGTTTAGTCCCTTGATTGCGCTACTTTAAAGTGCAACCTCGAAAAATCGGCTATGAATAGAGGGTTAGGTAATGATAAATAACTTTTTTTTTTATTATTATAAAAAAAGAACATTTGCTTTGGCAAAAAATTTGGCAGTTCCAAAAAAGCCCACCTCACTCTCTAACAAACACCCTTGAAATGGTTTAAGTAGAAGGGTGGATCAACCAGTAATGTGACCAATCACTGATTGAGAACAAGCGATCGCAGCTAAGAAAGTTTCTGCAGCATCTTGAAAGAGAAATGTGATGACAAAGACAGTTTCTAGTTTTAGTTGAAGAAAAGTACTTGCGCTGAGGAGGGGAATGTGTAATTTTTTTCTCGTATGCACCCTGAAAGTGTTCACGGGCTGGGCTTGCTGGCTAATATGCTTGTCTCTCTTGTTTCACAATGAACTGGCAGGTTTTCTTCATTTGGAAACATTAAAACAGTTTTTTTCACACAAGTGAAAGCCAGGGCTCTCTAGTGTGGTGGTTTGTTCTGAAATCTTAAATATTGCAAGAGTTCTTGTAGGTTTGTAGTCACCAATCACCCTAAACATCCTCCGTCATTCAAAATCATTTGAACAAAATGATCCAAAATGATCCATCCAGACAGGACACAGTCCAACTGGTTATCGTCACCACGGTCAACCCTGGGTTTTGATGCCTCGAGAACGAAAGAAACATAACCACATACACAAAAGGGTGAGGGAAATGTGGGTACCCTGTGTGAGGAGTAGAGGGAGACTGAGCAGTCATGATCAGCAGGCCGAGGATTGAGGCAGTGGCAGCGCTCGCTCGTTCTTCCTCCCTCCGTTCATGTGTGCGTAGGGCTGCGTCTCGTTGAACGCCGGCCCCAGCACCACCACTGGCCCGTTTGCTGCTACCTGTCCTGAGTGCTTGTCTAAGGCCAGGCCCGGAGAGGCTGAGGAGGAGGGCGGTGAGGTGGAGGGGGTCAGGGCAGACCCCATCGGTGTCCCTGGCCCCTGAGCTGGGGAGAGTGGCTGTGGACTATGTGTCTGAGCCCCTGTGCTCCCCTGAGAGGAGGGGGCCATCATAGAAGCAGGATCCAGTGGAACGTTCTCCATATTCTCCACCTCCATGTCCAGTTCCTCAGTGTCGGGTGGTTTGTTCTCCTCACTGTAGAAAAAGCTAACCTCCCGGAAGGGCGGCTCCAGTTCTACTTTTATGCTGTTGATGATCTCTAGAAAAGACGGTCGCATCTTAGGGTTGTACTGCCAGCACATCCTCATCAATTCAAACCTGTAGACCAGATACAGATATTGCATTACAGTTTGATACTTGATCAAAAATCACATCACAAAAAGTTGCTTGCCTTATCCAAAATACTTTATTGGATGTAATGCAATAAAATGACTTTGAACTGCAAAATAATGCACACTAAAAAACAATTGATTTACAAACAAATGACTCTTATGAGCCAGTTCATTTGAGTAAATCAAAAACACACAGCGCCACCAGTGTTGTCTGATTTATGAACAAATGTCTCTTTAGAGCCAGTTCTTTTTAGTGAATCAAAAACATACAGTATGTCCAGTGTAGCTTAATAAGCCTGACAAAAAAAAAGACAGTTTACGGTAATTTAAATAAATCTGAAATAATATATAAATATTACTTAAAAACTTAAAAGAAAATTAGAAATGTTGCCTAGGGAACTAACTAAAGTGAGTTCATTGTAAAGTATTAAAATATAAAAACAAATAAAAATAGAAATATTAAAAAATAAGGAAACTTACAAACTTATATTCTCCTAACAGAGGAGAATTTCACTTATTTGTACGCAAAACGTAAATTATAACTGAAATATGCCCATATAAATCAGAACTAGCAACACTTCAGTGTTGTAGTGGTAACAGAGGTAAGCACTTTTCTTTTCTCTTTTCAGAAAATGTACAAATCTTATTTTCATGTACAAATCTCACTCATATACTGTACTGCATTGCAAACAAGCAATACAATGTCTATAAAATGTCATAAACCCTGGGGTGTTTTCACACTAAAAATCTCCACCCATCAACAGGTGGCAGTGTTCACTAGAGCTAGAGCACAAAGGAGTGTTGTGGAACAGACAACTTCTAGAACATTTTGTGGTCATACACACTGAGAAGTGCACTACGCCAGAATTGCTATCATAAACACTTCACAGACTCGTTCTATGTGAACAGCTGAGAACACATGAAAAGCAAAAGAGCCTAAACAAAACAAAACAAAAAAATCATAAACCCATGATCATAACAGTTTGGTGTGGTAGTACTGTCCCCACCACATCTTGGTAAAACACAAGCTAATAATAGCGTCAGCACTCACTGGCCCACTGAAATACATTTTAAGTGATCTCCAGCCACAGTTTCAGAGCAGAGCAGGGCGCCTTAGCCACACAACACAGAGGCCTTCTCGCAAAGACATTCCACAGTATCGGGTCAAACAGTGCGCTGGAAGTTTCTCTGCTGGGCATTAGGAACTGACGGAAACTTTTCTGTGGTTCCAACTTCTGAGACATTCTCTCAAAATAAAGGCAAGTTTTTTTGGACACAGGCCTGGCATTTGTGAGTAACCTGCCTGTTTGGCATTTGTTGGATCTCAAATTCATAGCAGAGGAAATCTGTTGTTACTCACTGAAGTGAATTCAACCCCATTTAGAAAATGTGATAAATCTTGCCTGCTGTTTGCACTCTCTATCACTTTTCCAAAACCCAGTGAGCTACCTTCCTGTGTACTGCCTCTATGGACGGCTGCCTTCTAAGGAAATGCATAAGCATCCTAACTGAAATAAAACCTTGCAAGTTACTGTTTTGGAGCACTCTACAAAGTTTGCAACTCCGCAAATAGCACTCAGCATGAGAGAACTCAAAATTGATTACAAAAGAGTTTGATGTTAGCATGTTAAGCTAACAGCAAAACAAAACAAAAAAACCCTCTATGAGCCTTAAAAATTTTGATAATATTTGCTATTGAATATCTCTTGCCATTTTATACATTTTTTTTCACTGAGCTTGTCAATGCATTTGTAATAATATTTTACAATATTACTGTTTTTACTGCATTTTTGATAAGAAAAATGCAAATCAGATAAAAGTTTTTCAAAAACATTTTAAAAATCTTATAAACCTCAACTTTTAAACAGTAGTGTAGTCATGTCATGACTGTGAGGCCTTAAAATGCTGTCTAGGTAGACAGCTCACTAGGTTTTGGAACAGAGCTACTGACTGTCAAGGACAATTATGGTACAAAATCTTAAATTACAAAACCTAAATGTCTTTTTTCAAAATCAGCAAGAAAAACCTATGATTCCATGATAGGATTAATGATATACTATTAAAAAAAAAAAAGCAAAACTGCTACAAAAATATCATAGTTGAACAGTTTTGGGATAACAATGTCCAAATAGTGAATTCAACATGATGAAGGGATCTACAAGCTATTTCTGAATCCCTGCCCTTGTATTTCAGCCAAGTATTACTTAAATTCTCATGATATCAGCTGGGCGTAATGATGAGATACAGATGACAAAGTCTTATAGCGCTAGCTATTTAGTGTAGCGCATGTTCAATCCTCCTCTCTCGTGCAATCAGGACATCTCGTCGTAGCTGCCATGGAAACCGGGGGTTTGTGTTTCCATAACAGTTGAGACAAGAAAGAGTGACCGAGGGAGAAAGGGGTCAGGAGAAACGGACAGACAGACCTCATGCCTCGCTACTGACATCAGCCCAGAAAAGGAGAACGGCAGACCGGATCGGTGACGCAGACAGACGCGCTCTGAAGAAGATAAGCACAAGAAGCTCTTAATAAAAAGTAGAGCAGCATGGGTCACTGTTCTGGTCACCCCCTGGGAACCACACATTCTCCCTTCTATGGACGGAGGCTCCCTGACAACATGATGTCACCTGTCTCCTTTTAACCTGTGACGCAAATGTCACCAGTCGGGCTTTAGCTTGGCCTGACGTTAGCAGCAGCGTCTGGTGACACACTATCAACATTTTAGCGTGATATCGCATCCCTAAATAGAAAAAGGCCGGTTAGAGGACAAAGGGTTAACATTGTAAAGCAGAGTGCCAAATTTGGGAGCAAAGTGCAGTTGGTGGACTCACAGCATGTCGGGACAGTTGTCCGGTTTATCCAGAAGTCCTCCCTCCATGACGAAGCGCAGTACCTGCTCATTGGACATGCCCTGGTATGGCTGCTCAGCTAAAGTGGCAATCTCCCATAAAACCACGCCGAACGACCTGAAGAAATAGGAACTGGTTAAAACAACTTTAAGGTCAAGAGATGCATGAAGAGCCGCTATGAGACAATTGCAGTCCTGCAGAGCCTAAAAGCAGCACTAGCCTGCAGCGTGTGACTGAAAGGCTGCGGATGCATCCATGTTTTTTTTTTCTAGCCTGGAACAACAAAATGCTCATTTTCAAAACAGCGCAAAATTTGCAAACACCGCGTGAGCCGCTGACCTGAACTTTTCTCTTTTAGTGTGGTGTTTTTGTTAGCCCTGTGTTCCTCATTAATGAAAATGAGTCCATATATTAGCCGGCGGCCGGTGAGAAAGTGCAGCAGCGGACCAGAAAGTCGGCAAACCCCAAATAAAAACCACACAAAGAGCACACTGTTGCTAGTTGTTATTCATGAGTTCTCTGAGGACAAATTTTCTACATTGGCCGAGGATCTGAGACAAAGCTCAACACCCTTTAAAACAGGACTATTACAACAGTGACTTGCATCTAATTGGCTGCAACATCTGTGTGTTGAAAGACAAAACCGCATTAGAGCGGGTCTTTTTCAGGGGAAGGAAACAAATAAAGACACCTAACGGCGAGGTTTATGGGAGTACGAGATGGGAGTTCGCTGTGGCTCTTTTCATCTCAGGGACTTCAAAAGCGGCAGATACGGACGAAGGGACAAGGAGGCGGGTCTGCGCTGGCACACCAACCCCATCATTACCAAACATCTGGAGAAGGTTAGGAGAGCACAGAGTGACAGAGCTGTGGGACGCTGAAGATTGGGAAACAGCAGAATTGGAAGAGTCGGTCTATGGCACCGTGACTCTGTTCTACTGAACCACCGCTGCTGGGACAAAAGCTGTGGAGAGACAGTCTGTCTGAAACAAAGAGACAATGTGTTTGGGCACGCTTCGCTTGGCTGGGACTGGAAGAATGTCTGGAAGTGATGCACGTTCTCCCTTGACAGGACATCAGTGGAAAAAAAAACATTAAAGGGTTTTCACCTCTTATAGGCCTATGAGGCTTCCTGTCGTATTAAGAAATATAAAGAGACAGTTTCAATGCTTTCTGGACAGCTGAGGGCCTGTGGTGGAGAGGGGCTACTGAGTCTCTGATGGGACAGCCTGCTGCTCAAGAGGAAAAAATCACAGTTTTTCTGCAGTCAAAATCTGGACACACTTAAATGAAACCCTTTTGATTTAAAAGCTTATAGCTAAATTATTACCAGGGGATTTTATTTATTTAAATAAGGAACTTAAGTTGGTTGTAATATTTTCTTCACATGTATTTTTATGCAGGGTTTTATAAATGAAAATACACAAAAGGTGAAATTTCTATTCATTTAAGAATTAAAAAAAAAATGTATCAGATTCCGCAAAAATATTAAACAGCATAACTGTTTTCAACATTGATAATAATAATAAATATGAAAGAAGAAATGATAACCAAATCACCACATTAGAATTATTTCTGAAATATAATGCGACACTGAATTAATGACTGCTGAAAATTCAACAAATTTACTGTATATTTGATCAAATAAATGCAGCCTTGGTGAGCATAAGAGACTTCTTTCAAAACCATAAAAGAAAATTGTACAGACCCCAAAAGTTTGACCAGTATGGTGTGTCCAAATGTTTGACCGATACCGTCCGTATATGCAAGCGCAAACCAATTCACTTACACATACATGATGCAGTGAAACAACATAGTCTTGCATTTATCTCTGTGTGAAGAAAAATCAGAGAGAACAGGGGGCTCATACCAGACATCAGAATTTGTTGTGAACACTCCATCTTTCAAAGACTCCGGTGACATCCAGCGCACTGGCAGCAGCCCTTTGCCTCCTTTGCGATAGTAATCAGTCTCGTAGATGTCTCTTGTCATGCCAAAGTCTAAACACATGAAAAGAGCAAACATCAAGAGTCAGTCACTGCCTTCAATCCACTGGTGTTCAAAAAGATTACTGAATTTATTGATTTATGTGATGTGCTGCAAAGAAACACTGAGATTTACCTCCGATTTTAACTGTGAAGTCATCAGCAACCATGCCGTTTCTAGCAGCCAGGTCCCGATGGACAAACTTGTTGGCATTGAGGTATGCCATCCCATCTGCTATCTCACCAGCCATCTGAATCATCTTCTTCAGCGGAGGCAACGACTGGCTGCTAGAGCCCTGCTACATGGCGGAAAAAAGAGCACAAAGGCTGCATTTAACACTTCTGTTTCTCTCTTTCTCTACTACAAAACCTTTTTGAACAGCTGACTGAAATAGCGAGTAGCTTTAAAGAAATGTGAACATTAACTAAAAGGGGGCATGAGATGCTGGCCATAGATCTGAGCAGAAAGAAAAATAAAGATAATAAGCATAATTAACTAGAAGTGTAATTTTTATCTAAAAAGCAGCAAGATAATCAAAGCAGACGGAATGTTTCTGTACCTCTTTGGAACGGAGAGAACGCAAGTAGCTCTTCAGATCACCCCGTGTCATCAGCTCCATTATAACTAGAGTGGGCTGGCCTTGTGAAACCACACCCAAAAGTCGCACCTAAAACAGGGTCCAAAAAAAAGAATGAGAGCTGAAATTACACTGTGACACTATGAAAACACTGAGAAACCTGTGTCTGAACAATCTATGTGAAAAGCATCATTGTTTTGCCATTTGTTTGGCGCTGCAAGAGGCATAGAAATGATACACTTGCATAAAAATTACAAATATCTTTAAAGTCCCCCTGTAGTCAAATATTTTATCCCTTAAAACTTATCTGATAATCAAAATGACATATTTAAATGTTTTTTCTTGTGAAAATAATTTTCTCATGCCTTAAAATAGCTTGAATGTAACTCAACACCCTTGCCTCATTTACTATACGCTGATTTATGAATATGCAAATTAGCCCCGCCTCCACTCACTCACACCTAGCGCCTCCTGATTCACTGAAATGTAGTAAACGCAAAACAATGGCATACACGGATAATGACTGATAAAACTATGTTTTTACTAGCGGACAACTACAGTGAATACTGTAATATTCGTTAACGTTACTTACTTGACGATGTTGTTCCCTCAAAATGCCTTGAAGACTCGAATACAGCCGTTTGTGATTCTTAATTCGCGCCCGCGAGCATACATACGCGTGTGAAGTGCAGACGCAGCTGCGGGAGAGGTGGGTCTGACTCCGGGCTACTTTTACACTGTTGCCGCGGGTTATAATGCAAGTTAGCGGTTCTAAATTCACACTAAACCACGGCCTCATGGGTTTTTTGGTCTAATTTATTTTTGGTTTTGTGCTGGTATTGGTATATTTTGCATGCTTGTGATAGGAATCGATCCCTTGACGTGATTGGTTATTGGTTTGTGACGTAGCAAACCTAGGGCTGTTTCAAACCACATTTCTGGGAGTGCCATTGGGAAACTACACTTTTAAGGAGAAAATACTCAGCAATGGTGTTGATTAATGGATTGGCACATGGTTTGTCTAAAAGCATATTAAAAACACCACATAGACAAATAAACAACATAAAAAACTTGATTTTCACTACAGGGGGACTTTAAGAACTTCAAAGTACGATTTGTTGGCAAACCAAATGCTGGATGACATTCTGCCCTCTCTCTTACCACATGGTGACAGTTGAACTCCTTCATAACTGAAGCTTCGTTCAAGAACTCGATGCGTTCACGCATACTGGCGGATTCATTTACAGTCTTGATGGCCACTCTGGTCTCAGGTTCATCTTTGACGACGCCCTTTGCGATGCCCTCATACACCATACCAAAGGAGCCCTGACCCAGCTCACGACACATAGTGATTTTCTCCCGAGCCACTTCCCATTCATCTGGTACATACACTGAGGAAACAGAAATGGAGTCAGCACATTTGAACAGGCAGTGCAGGGTAACATACATGACAGTAGCAATGGAAAAAAAAAATATTTAAATAATTCAAAATTGATTTCCAGGATGTGTAATCCAGTGATGAATCATTATCTTAACGAGCATATAGCTTCTTTTTTTTTTTTTTAGATCAAAACATCTTTAAAATGTATATAAAATAAATATTGTGAAATAACTTTTTTAAAACATAAACCTCACTAAATTTTGGTATTTTGTATATAGGCCTATTTGTGATCTGTGAGAACAAAACGTTAGTCAGTATAATACTGATATTAAGTTTACAAGAAAATCAGTTAAACACTTAAAGGGTTAGTTCACCCAAAAATGAAAATTCTGTCATTAATTACTCACCCTCATGTCGTTTCAAACCCGTAAGACGTTCGTTTATCTGTCTGACCCTGCATAGACAGCAATACAACTGAAATGTTCCCAAGTCCAGAAACGTAGCAAGGAGATCTGTAAAATAGTCCATGTGACATCAGGGGTTCAACCGTAATTTTACGAAGCTACGAGAATACTTTTTGTGCGCAAAAGAAAAAACATAACGACTTTATTCAACAATTCGTCTCCTCCGCATTACCCTGTAGCTCCACTTTGAAGAGTATCAGCTGGATGTAAACAACGTATGCTGTTCTGTGTCAGCTGCGTCACGCCGGATTTGTTTCCTACATTGTTGTGATTTGATCTGAATGAAAACAGCGTATCTGTGTGACGCAGCTTACACAGAACAACATACGCTGTTTACGTCCAGCTGATACTCTCCAAAATGGATCTACAGGGTAATGCGGAGGAGCTGAATTGTTGAATAAAGTCGTTTTGTTTTTTTTTCTTTTGCGCACAAAAAGTATCCTGTAGCTTCGTAAAATTACAGGTGAACCCCTGATGTCACATGGATTATTTTACAGATCTCCTTGCTACGTTTCTGGACTTGGGAACATTTCAGTTGTATTGCTGTCTATGCAGGGTCAGACAGCTCTCAGATTCCATAAAAAATATCTTAATTTGTGTTCCGAAGATGAACGAAGGTCTTACGGGTTTGAAACGACATGAGGGTGAGTAATTAATGACAGAATTTTCATTTTTGGATGAACTATCCCTTGAAAGACAACCTGGTTTCTGAACAAATTTGACATAATACTCACTTTCAAAAGGACTGAAGTATTCAGGGTTTACAGAAGCATATAGCACACCATTTCCTAACCTGTCACTATTCCTGAAAGGAAACATTGAAAAACATTTTGAAAAACCGTACTGGACACTAGAAATTAAAATAAAAGTATATTTTTTACTAGATGGGACATCAACCTCTTTTTGGTGACAAAGACGACAACGGAGATCACTGCAGTGAGCAACAGTAGCACTGTAACAGGAATAATGATGGCCAGATAGAAGGCATTATCATAATTTCCTGTAAGAAAGAAAGACATTTGTACAGAAGTAAGAAATAAATATGACAACAGACTGAAACAGACCTCTCTACATTTCCATTAAATAAGCTATTTTAAAGTTACCAGTAAGCACACCTCCTAAAAATAAACCCATAGGTTTCTTATGTGCGTTCTTACTTTTAGGGGGTGGCACATAGAAGGACACTGGTTCAGTCCAAGACCCATTCCCAGCCAAAGATGTTGCTCTGACCCGGGCAGAATAATTTCCAGAGGGCAAATTGCTAAGCTGAGCTCCTCGCAGCACTCTGTACTGCTGCCGTGATACACACTCATGCTTCTCGGGCTGTAACACACACACATACACACAGTTGGTTTGTGGCATTGGCTGCAGTTTTAACTATTTCTTAATGGTGTAGAAATAGTTAGTTGTCGCACTAACCTCAGTTCCCAGGCGATATTTGATCTCATACATGAGGATCAGTCCATTAGGGTGATGAGGTTCAGGCCACCGCAGCAGCACTGTTCCTTCTCCCCTCTCATCCCTCTCCTGAGTTACAGTGCCGGGAATATCATCCGCTTTGTCTGGGAAAAACATAACTCTGCTCAAGGCCAGTGCTCTCTTACAGTAATTCAATAACATTTCAATTGCATTACCGTTTTAATTGCTGTTAACATGAACAGGATAACAAATAAAAAAATCATGCTGTAGGCGCAGTGGAGAATTACTGGAATTTTTATATTTTGCTGGACTGGATATGCAGTCATTTGCGCATGAGTTTGGTTTGTTGGTTTTGCTGACCTGCTGGTTTGGTTCTAGAGAACACAAAAGCTGCCGCACTGCAACGGTGGATCTCATAGTTACAGGCGTGGATGTCGATGCGGTACACTGTGAAGGGCTGCAGGTTGGATATCTCCATGAACTCTGTATAGACTTTGTCCTCGGAGAAAGGGTACTCTTTCTCATGCAGCTTTGGGTCAGTGATGTTACTCTTCATTCCTGTGTTGTTCCTGCTTGCACTCTGCAGCAGTGTGCCATTGGCCACTCCAAACAGGTCTCGCCGCTTCCTGTCAGGAGGTCTGAGACATGAAAAAAAAAACAATTAAAGAGGAAGGAATAGGAATAGGAAAAGAAAAAGAAAAAGAAAAAGAAAAAGAAAGAGGAGGAAAAAAATTGACAGGAAAGAGAAATGGAAAGGAAAAGGAAGTAATAAATGACTGAGCAAGGAAATGAAATGGGAAAAGGAAGTAGGAGAATGGAAAAGGAAAGGAATTAGTAAATGACAGTAAACGGTAAAATAAGTAAGAAAAAGAAAAGAAAAGTAAAGAGGAAAAGGAAATGAAGTATTAATTGACAGTAAGATATCATAGAAAGATGTAGAGCTGTCAGCAGAGTCTACACTGGTTTAAAAGCATACAAGCCAATTACTGCACACAATTACTCTACAACACACACCACTTCCTTTTAACACGAAAGCCTAATTCTCTAATGTCCTACTAACAGGTCTCTTAGTAACACTGAAGATACTTGCATTACTCTACAACTTACAGGGCTCCTTTTTCTCTTCTGGATATTATCAATCATTTATCATCCTAAATGATGAGCTCTTTTAAATTCTTATGAGTGTTATATATCCAGCTGGGCTGGGACTGATCGCTCATAGAAAATTGGTTTTTAAAAGAAAATCCAAGAAATGTTAACTCTCTCTTGTCTACCCTGACCCTTTCTTCTCATTCTGATTCTTCTTCCTGTCCAGGTATAAAACCAGTGTGTATTAATGAAGCATTTATTTGCACCATCAATGCTTACTATAAAATATATACTTGCAAATGAAGCACTACACATACAACAAACATTTCTGCAGATGAGAAATGAAATGGGAAGGCATATTTGGAACAAATATCGAACATCCTTAATAATGATATGACCGACTCTGCCTCTGACGGTAGAGACAGTGCATATAAGCAAACTAGGCGATAAGCAAACTAAGTCACTGGCTACAGGTCAACCCTGTCGCCACTAAAGACATGCAGTCAGCAGCAACCACAAGAGCTTACCAGACACCAATGGACCCAGTGCCACTTCACATATATGACTAGGGCAGGGTCACAGCCTTACCTAGAGACACTTTTAGGAGACACGTAACGATTTGCTCGCTCAGGATCTCTGTAAAAATTCAATAGTCAGACCAAACAATACAATCCACTGCAGATGGGAAAGACAGGAAGGTTTGAGATGAATGTGGGGGAAACCCCAGTGTGCCAAACAAATACAAGAGAGGAAAGTGATAGTGTCAGACACAAAGACTGACAGACAATAAGTGGAGACAGGCAATACAGGTTTTCAGCTTTTGTCAAAAACAGTTTGAGGAAAAAAGTTTGGGAATTGTAACTAGTTATAGATTGATGTACTGAACACATAACAATGATAACTGTGGCTTCTTGTCTGATTACCAGATGCTTTTTTTGTCAGTAAAGAAATTAAATAATTGTTAAAAAAATATTACTATACTAAAATATATTACTATAAACCTGTGATATTATTAAAAATATCCATACAGTATATACGTACAGTCTATTGTGCCAATTCTCTGATATAAAATTATTCAAATAAAATACTGAAAAATACTAGTCATATTGGTGTGCTGTCTCTAAACTCTGCCAAACTATCTATAGACGTAATAGCAGGTGTTTTTCCAGTCTGACATGACAACACAGGCAGAAAGGCTTGTTTGAGTGTCCTATTTAACGGTCTTCAAGAAGCACATTTACAAGCAATTACGAACTTTAACCACTGATGATTATGAAAGTTTAAACATTACTATAAGCCTTATTCTGCCAACTCAAATCAATCAACTGAGAAATGACAGTAATGAGAGAAGATTTTTGTGTGTGTTTGCTTTTGTGTATGTGCGAGAGTGGAAACTTTTAATAAAAACCAACGTAGAACGCTGTAGGGAGGAACAATCAAATCAACTCTAACCACATTCCATGTCACTTCCATTGAACGGTGCTGTGATTTAAGAGTGGGGATTTTGGAAGCAACTGGACACTATTAAATACTTACTAACTAGGGATTCAGATCACCCTTTGAGGGTGTTTACTGTAGAAGATCAAATCATATGTTACTTGAGCATCACATCAACACCTCTACAATACAACTCTACTCATCAAGCACAAAGAAAACCCATATGTGTGAGTAAAGTACATCCATAATATACAGTACATGTACTGTATAAAATCTTTTTTTGTAACCTTTAGCCCAGGCTCAGGGTCTTTACAGTCAGGATCTGCCTCTTGTCTACAGCCATAAACACTGATCTTAACCTAAATGCTACTGGCACTGACCGCTGACTAGGAAAAGGTCAGGCTCGCATCAAGAACTAAAGAGACAAGAACTAAAGAGACAGGGTCCTGAGGGAAGATTTTACACCTGCAAACCTCAGATGAAAGACGTAACAGCAGATGTTGACATAGCAACACTGACAGCAGCACATCCAGTCTTCCTTTTCCCAGGCAGGAAGGCTTACGTGTCATTGAAGCAAAGGCAACACCTCACGTCCCACTTGGCAGAAAGTCAAGTCTTCACTGAAGCGCAGGGCTCAGGAATGACTCGGACTCCCATTACAGGGCCCGAAAAGTTGATCAAGCTGTGTGGGTGTTTGAAAGAGAAGACGGTGCATCCACACCTCCTCTTGAAAGGGATCTTACTTTGGAATTCATTAACATTCCACATAGGTTTGCTGTACATTTCCTGGGAGAAATGTACAGCAAACCTCCAAAGCAAAACAAAGAAAGCGTCTGAGGAAGGAGGGAGAGAAAGCGGGCGAGAGGAAGAGAAAGGGGAGGTGACCGTTGAATGGAAAAACATATCCGCTTCATTCAAGTATTTAGCATCTCCAGTTTTTCTCAGACTCGATCGGTTATTTCTCGAACATCGATAATGAGGTCTACTTAGTGGGAACGGAGAGTGACAAATCTGTCACCCCAACTTCTAAAGGAAACACAGCGAGGGGGCTGGGGTTGTTGGGTCAAGATGGAAATAAGTCATCAGTGATGGAGAAAAGATCTTATTGAGCATTCTGCTACTAAAGGAAAGCATATTTACATTTAGAAAGTCTGTTTTCCATCGATTAGAGATGGAGAGATGGGTTGACGCTGATGGGGTGCATCACGCTGTCCCTGAGTGAACCGCAAACCATTACCTTGATGAAAATAGGGCTTCAATAGCAGAAGTTTGGGGAAGCTAAGTGGTAGAAGATGTTTGGCTACATCGATTTGTGCATCAATACTCATGACTCAAAACCACCCCAAAATGCACACACTCACAACCAAATAAACAACCCACAAAAAAGCCTGACTGCAGATGTCCTGAACGAACTCTCAGAAAGTCTCAAAGCATGTGTGTCTGAGTAAACCTGAACCGGTTCCTATGTGCCGTTCTTCTCCCGCATGAGACAAGAAAACATCCGATGCCACAAGCAAGGTAAACAGATAACACAATGCAGACGTCACTCCTCATTTCAGCAAACAAAAGCCTAACATGGAGCGAGCCCTCAGCCGGCGGCTGCTTTCCAGTCTCATTAATCCAGTCTGCGTCTGTTTGTGCATGCCAAATTACAGCCTGCTGAAGTCTTAATATGCAACCGCCACCGTCGCTCCAGCAACAAACAACGTGGCTGCACAGGCCTGGAGTTCGTACCTTTCCCCCACTCACAATCTAATTCCGCTCCAGCCTCCGCTGCTGGCACCTACCCCTTTCCAAAACCTCATGTTCTGATCTTGTCAGCCCCATGTCGAAATAATTAGGCCTCCAAAATTCTGGTTTTGATTCTATGAAATCAAGCCGCCTCAAGACTATGAGCTCAGACCCACTTTGATAATCGCTCTACAGGAAGACTGAAAAAATTAAGGGCTTCAGACCACTGTTGTAAACTGTGGCAGAAAGTGCTGGGAGTAATCCAGGATACTGAGGGTCCACCTAACCTTTCCAGTACGCTAGAGCGATAGTTTTCCATCAGGACCTAGAATTCAAATTGGACATCAACTGGCAATTCACCGTTGTGCCAAAAATGTTTGTCATACAAAAGTCAACAAAAATGTCCTTAAAGAAGTATTCTGAGTTCAATAGAAGTTCAAATGACATCACTAATGTGTACCAAAAAATTATTTAAACTCAATCGAGGTTAAGGTGAGTCAATGAAAGTGAATGGAGACAGTTTTTGGAGGAAGTGTAAAGCTTTTAATTTTATAACACCACTTTATTTATTTAACACTTATTTATAGATATGAATTTAAATGTAATTCAATTATTATGCTTTTTATGGTTTTAGGCATTAGGTTATCATGGCAACAAAGTTGTAAAATTGAACTTTTTGGTTTGTAAACTAAATATTAACACTAAAATCATGTTAACATGCAAACTGTTTACATCCTTTGACTATATGTTTGAAACACAGTATTAAAACATTTACAGATTGACCTCATTTCACTTCCATTTTAAGTGCTTCACTGTAACCAAGATTTAAAAATGTAGAAAATTTGTGTGGTAATATTTTGCCACAAGTGATGTTGATTTGACTTGTACTGAAACTAAAATATTCTTTATTCAAAATAAAAGAATTCGAACATTTAAACCGGGCTTAGGCATTTGGGGTATATAAATGTTTTCAAATAGCAGGAGATGCAAGAGCCCACTGAACCGAACAGACCTGCGTCACACTTGATACGATCAAGTGTGATATGAGCTTCAGAAAGTGCCGTCAGTGCATGTGTCATACCTGGGTGTGAAGATGGAGTTGTGCAGGAAGTTCTCGAAGACTTTTCGGTAAGATCGGTCTTCAGCTTCCGCCTTTAGGTCCTCCTTGGTTTTTGGGCAGGGGCAGCAGCCCTTCTCACCCCCGCCAACATCTGATTTGGTGGGCTTTGTTTCGCCCTCAATGTCCGACAAAGCCGTGGCTGAGATGCGGATGGGAATTTTTAGCTCTGTAGTCAAAAACAATGACACAGACTGAGTTGATCGAGCAACAATAACACAAGCTTCACACGTTTTGTATATATAGTTATTGTATGGTTCTCTGGAATACCTGACTCTGATAATAATCCTCCCAGGCACATGATTTTCAACATAGCTGTACTAGTTTTTGATCTCTCGTATCACTACTCTTTCTTCTAACATAATAATTTCAACTGAAATTAATCATTCAAATCTCTTTATTTATTTGGCTAGTAGCCATGTAGTAACTGGGATAAATGTACACTCACTATACATCAAATTTCATTTCATATATTGATGGCTAAATTTCTAAAATAATGCTGAAAGGAGGCAGAAGGTTGACGGTTAGTGGTGGTGATGAGGGTTGATGAAGCAAAAGGGCACTTCAATGGTGCACACTTACCTTTAGAGCAGTAGTTATGCTGGTAAAGTTCACGGTCTTCTGCCTGCTGCTGCCAACGGAGCAGGTAGAAGGTTTTGTTTCCGTTGGGAGAGATGGGAGGAGACCACTTCGCCATCAGGGATGAGGAGGAGTTGGCATATGCGCGGGCATCGAGGGGCATTGACGGCGCTGTGGAATTGCAAGATATTAGTTGGCGTAATAAGTCAAATTGTAGACTGGATACTGGATATTGGAGGGACAGTGGTGAAGCCAACCTGATGCATTAGTGCGGATATAGACCACCTCACTCTTAACCCCCAGAATGTGCTTGTCCTCTACAACCAGGGTGACAGCTTTCACAAAGATGGCATATTGTGTCCAGGGTTTAAGAGGGGACAACAATACCCCTGGGTCTGCCGATTTGTCCTGAGGAAGGTCTACATCCACCATGTTCCAGCTATTAGAACCACATCCATCTTGTCCATCGAATTCTGTGATGTTCTGGAATGGTCTACATTGAGACAACAACGCAAAAAAAAAAAAACATTCATATAATGCTTCAACTCTGAAGCCGCTAATAAACTCAATGTGAATAATGCGTCTATAATAGTAACTTCTAGCAGGCTGATACTTACGCCTCCTTGTAATACACGATGAAGCTGATGAGGTCTCTGTAGTCAGGCGGTCGATATCGCTCCCAAGTGAGCTTTATCCGAGTACTCTGAGTGTGGTTGGATTTGAACTTAAGAATATAACTCTCACCTAGAAGAGGGGTCATAAGAGAGATTTAACTAAAAGCACCCATAAGAGTTCTTCAACTTGAATGTAAGACTGTGCCATGGCCTTTCCATCTTTCATGAGCTTCTAGGAATCAGAGTGGTATTAGAAAAGGCACTTCTGTTAATGTCTCACCAGTCTAGAGTCAGAGCAATTATGTTCTGCGGAAAAAATGTGACTACATTGGCTAAGCCATTATCATCGGTCTTCAAAGCAAATTCGCTCTATGCAGAAATCTGTCAAACGCATAATAGAGCAGGTACAGACTGGGACACCTTGTGAGCAAAATGCATTTTAAGAGTCTTGAGTGATGTCTTTGTAGAGAGATAATGCTATCGTCTACCAACCGTTTTCACTTACAAATGCCACTGCATCATATAACAAAATATCAAACCACTAAAATTTATTTACAAGAAAAAGTGTACAAGCACACTTTCACTGTGTAAAACCTTTTATAAAAATAAGTTAAGATTGCAAACTATAAAATGATAGATATACTGTTCAAAATGTATATATGACACTTTCTGAGAACTGACTTTGTACATCTATTAAAAATGATCTAGACACCAGTAAATGCAAAATGGCTCCGTTTTAAGTTACTTCTGAGAAAATCTCCAGCACTGTGTTTGCAGAGGCCACTTGGCTTGATATTTTGTTTCTAATGCAATATATTTTAAGTGTCAAAAACCGTCAATTTAAAAACCATATTAAATTGGAATAATTATACTGATACAATATTTTACTGGTATATTTTTGATGTTTTTTGATAGATTATTTTATAAGATAATTTTTTTCATTTACAGATAGAATAGATTTAATTTATAGCTGAATGTGAAATTGAAATGAGTCTAAATTACGATTAGATTATTTCTTTATTAAATTATTATTAATAACAAAAACTCTTTTTGCAAATGTACACTAAACAGTTCTCAGACCTAACTGGAAGTAGAAATGGTGCAATGATTAAATGTTGACTCAGTAACTGCTCTGACAGAATCACTGAGACAGGGTTTCTGCGGGATTTTTAAGCTCAAATTTAAGACTTTTTAAGACCTGCAAAAATAAAATGAATACCATATGAATGGGGTAGGCAGGGCAATGTCTATAGCAGTGATGGGCAAACTTGGCCCTTCCAGGCCACTTTCCTGCAGAGATTTGATCCAACCCTGATATGAC